CCTCATTAAAAAAGTTGATAATTCCTCGTGCCATTCACGTGCTTGTTCAACATGGCCAATCACATGTAGCATAGTGTCCATTTCAATCGAAAGGAGCAATTTAATTCCTTTTATTATTATTTTTATTATTTGCAAGTGATTTGGATTCTATTAGGGTTGTTTAATTATTTTCATTATACTTACTAATAACTTTAATGGAGTAGATGAGTTTTGACATAATTAATATTTTGAAGGATTCAAAAGTCTTTACAGTCGTTTTGGACTAACTTATTTTTAGAAATAATAATGGAAAGAATATATATATATATATATATATATATATATATATATATATGAGCTGGTTGAGATAAGCTAATGCTCATCGTGTACTAAAAACAATAGACATAACAATCTCATTGATTGAGATTCCAAAATCATTAGAGGCACTTTGTTGGATGTATGGTTGGCGGTTGGTGTTTGCTAAATGAGGATGCTGTGAACATTTTGAATACGTTTTTTTTATTTATAAAAGGGCAAATATTCTTTTTTTTTTACTTAATGTGAATTGATTTATAAATTTTGATTGCTTGAGATATTGTATTTTTTTATATTTTGGTAAAGATGTTTAATAAAAATGACCAATTAAAATTTATAAGTCAAATAGAGTTTAACTCAAATGTCACTGATCTTATAAAAATAGGTGAATCAAGATGGACTGATCTTAACACTGGTATCAGCATGCTCGTCCAAACAAAATATAATATTTAATAAAATTGATGACAATGAAATATATTAACTTCTCTCAACTAATTATAATAAATATATTTTAATTAAGTGAACATATTAACGAGGTGATATGCTGGGTCACTCAATATATTTTCCACCATCTACTATTTTAGGGGGTTGCCTATAATGTAAATAAAAATATTAAAATTACATATAATGTATATGTATAATGTAAATTACACTGACTTCTCTCCTTTTTGTGAAATTACACTTATATTCTTTGAGATTTTTATATAAATAACACATATCTCCCCACCGTTATAAGAAGAAAATTGTAATTACAAAATTTGACAAATTTGACAAGAAAGATCAGAGTAGTTTGACAAATAAGAGAGAAATTCAATGTATATCCACAAAACCTTAGAGAAAATTAGTATAATTTATCCTTATTTATATCTTAATACAGCTTCCTTCACATCAAAATATTGCACCATTATATCAAAAAATTAGCACAAGCAACACCATTATCCCTATTAGTGTTTTATGTTGAAAAAACTATATTAATGGTCGTTTGGCCTACCATGAAGTTTGTATGTGTACAGTGTAAATTTGTTTCTGAATTTTTTTATTTAAATTGTAATATATTTTGAATACGAAATTCAAATTACCCAAAAAAAAAAAAACATTAAAGTTATAATTGGAGCACTAAATCAACATTATGAAATTGAAATTAAAGAAAACTCAGTTCACAGTTAAAACTACTTTTTTATTATTATTATATAATTTCAATTATAAGGTAGTGTTCCCAAACACAACTTTTTTTGTTAAAATCATTATTTTTAAAAAATTTTGAAAGGTGCTAAAATTCGACCATGTTAACAATTTCAATAATTAGGGTGAAAATTTAACATAAAAATTTCTCTCTTCATGAAACTCTAGAATTATAATGTAGGGGAATTTGAAATTGACTCAGGTACTGAACAGTCAGTTCACCAGTGAAAAAAAAAAAAATTACTACATACTATATTTTAATAATTAAAAACACTTATTTTTTTTTTTTATTTTCTTGGCAGACTTGCCCAAATTTTTTATTATCAATTCAAGACAATTAAAAACAACGCTTAAAATGGTAAGAGATAGAGAGATTTCAACAAATTTTGTCCTCCTTGTTTGGCATTTTGGTGGAGGGCATGGAGTATGGACCATAGAAAAAGAAAAATGACATGTTTGTTTGGAATCATGAGTTCTTCCATGCGCCGGTAGGAGGGATTCCCTTTGAAATTGATAAAGGGGCACTGCACATTTTTGCCAACAAGAATCTCACCGACGCTAAAACAAACCACCTAATTTTTTTTACTCCGTACTATTTTTATTTACTTTTTAGGTACCCGTAATAATAAACTAATAATCAAGCAAATTATGTTGGTCTGTGCACCGTACACGTGTTGTAATCTCAAAATGGCATGGACTTTCTCTCAACATTCTTGACCTATCACGGAAAGGATTCAAAAAGCAGTTCTAGATTGACAATGTTGTCCCTCATGTTTACTTGTGAATCGAAAGAAAAAGTGAGTAAAAGCAATTTTAACTACCCAAAAATTTTAAAAATAGGGTTAATTACAACGAGATCCCCTGAGGTTTATCGTATTGACAGACATATGTAAGTTAGCTCTTTTTAGATAATAAAGCCCCTCAAGTTTGTAAACTTTAAACAATGACACCCCAAACTAGATGAAAGTACATGTTTACCCTTTGACCACGTAAAATGATCAAAGTAACCTCAGCCAATATACACAACCACCACTCATCACCACCCTAACATCAACAACCACCATCTTCTTCATTGTTCCACCACCATCACACAAACCCTACAATTCAAAATTACACACATATATCTATATATACATACATACAAAACAATAGGGTAATTACACACATATATCTATATATATATACATACAAAACATAGGATAAAGGCAGCCATTGAACCCGGTTGTATTACCTTCCGAGCTCTCTTCCATAGATCTTTCCGAGCACAGTCATTGAACCCGACCGAGTCCAACTCGGACGAGTCAGAGCCCATCACCGCCGCTATCAGTTAGCTGCGCCCATCACTGCCGTTCTGAAGTCAACTGAGCCAATTGCCGCCGATTTCGTCCAGCCAAGCTATCCACCGGCGTTCAGTGCTATTAGCCCGTCACCCACAGCCGAGGCCGTCTTCCCGTCACCCACAACCGAGACCGTCTTCATCACTGCCGAGCCCTCACCGGCCGCGCCCTCACCAGCCGCCGCGAGTCCTCCACGGCTGAGCCATCCACAGTTAAGCTCTCCTCCAGTCGAGCTCTCCAAAGTCGAGGCCTAGTTCATCCTCACAGAATTCACCGCCAACCCATCCTCGCCGGATCCATCACAGCCGCTATTCTCGGCTGTTGCTTCAACCTACCAAGTCTCCCTCTTGCTAAAAATAGATGACGGTGAGGGTTCGGGCAGAGGCCATTGCAGGAGAGTATCCGGAGTTTTTGTTGGCAACGTTGCAGGGCCAAAATTCGAGTCGGCAATGAGGAATCAGTCGCGATTTCGGCGACGATTTTCTGCTTTACTATTCCTGTAACGACTCAATGGCATCCTCGTCAGTCCTCAACGCAGAGCTCGGAACTCCGGCGGTGGCAACGCGGCACGGCGCGGAGGTTGGAACTGCAACGGCGACGGCGGCACAGCACCGGTCATCGAGTTTGGGTTTTTTCAGAGTAGAGGGTAGAGATTTAAAAAGGGTAGTTCTGTCATATGCATATTTTGATATTTTAGATTAATAATTGATATTTTACTGAGGGTAATCTCGTCTTTTCACAACTTTTAAGGGCTTGTTTGGATTAAAATTTTAGACAGGGGGTGTGAGTGTTCAAAAAATGGCAAACTTATATATGTCTGTAAATACCCCAAACCTCAGGGGGTGTCATTGTAATTAACCCTAAAAAATAAGAGAATGGGATAAAGCTTAATGACACGGGAGTAGAGTTTCAGCAGCACTCTAACTACTCTCGTACGGCATCCGAGACGTTGCTTCTATTCTCATAAGTACTTGGTTAGCCTAAGTGCACACCTTAACCAACACACTCCCCTGCGCTTATTAGTGTTGTAATGGCCCTCGCCCTTTCCTCACTTGGCTTGCACACTCACATACACTAAGACACTTAAGTTGGTAAGGAAAGAATACTTCTATTACTTCAAAGAATGTTTTGTACAAGGTTAGCACTCAAACACTCTACAAGGCTCTCAAGACTCACTCCAAGACTTGATGATACAAAATGAAGTCCTACTCATATTTATAGACATCCCCATCCCTAATGGACGGCTAGGATGCACTTTAATCGACGGTGGAGATCGATTCTCTATACATTCATACATATCCACAAATATCTACAACATTCTAGAACTCTCCATACTATTCCACACGAAAAACTCTAGAATATACTACACGTTTCTACACATATCCAGAATATTCCACACAACTTTAAACAATTCCGGAAGATTCTAGAAACTCCACTCACCATACAGCTTCCTACTCAGCGTCTGCGTGGCCTAACCTTCATAGGCGGAGCGTGACATTAAGGTCACATTTTTTAGTATTACATATGTGAAAGAAACCCCTTTTCTACATTCAAGCTTATACTATTTTTTTAAAAGGAAATGAATGAAAAAATAGTAAATATTCGTTTGAGTACTGTGTGACTTGGACTTGTTACCTTATAAAAGATCAGATTTAAGATTAGACTCATTTTTAGTACAAATAATTCTTTGGAATTAATCTCATAAGTAAAAATTCAAACTTTACTTAATCGGTATGAAACTATGCATGGCGCTATTTGCACGGTGTTTTGCAAGGTATTTTGCAAAATAATCTTAACTTATAATTTTTTTTGAATGACAATATAAAGTGTTCATCTAAATTCAAGGATTTGAAAGGACTAGAGATGAAAAATGAATGAGTAGCTTCAACCTTACATAATTTTTTTATATTTTCCTTTTCTCTTTTCCTCTCATTTTAGATTAAAATAATCCTCTAGATTTTAATGAAAATGGTAGTTCAATGGCATAATTGTAATTTGAAAAATGCTGAACTCCACTAATATCGCCGCACATGGCCATTCTAGAAACTTACCCAAAAAAAAAAATAATAATAATAATAGTAGTAAAAATTGTTCCAAAAGGTAATTTTAGACATTTTAGAAATATCTGAGCAAAAATCGATACGCGACGACGCGGAAGTGACCCTGTATGTATATATCGCCTTTGTCGAAACTCGGCGTTGTTAAACAGAATCTTCCCATTTTCTCAATCTCTTTCTCCGATTCTCTCTCTCTAAAAAAAACCGCTTTTCTCTCTAAGATTCCGGTTTTCTGATCCCTTCCCTTTACTCTCTATTCCTCTATCTCTATCTCTATCTCTTTCTCTCTCAATATATACAGCTATATAGATCTTCACTATCTCTCTTCTCTGCCTTTGCCTTTGTTTTCAATCAAATACATTTGTTACTTATCTGAGAGAGAGATATATACAGCGATCAGAGATGGGTGCAATTCCTCCTGAACTGAGCTTGGATCTTAAACCAACTTATATCCCCAAAACGATTAGCGATTTTCTCAGAGAACTTTCAACGATCGGTAATGCTACAAAGAGGCTTTCAGAGCTTGAAGATTTTGTTAAGAGATTAGAAGAAGAAATGAGGAAGATCGATGCCTTCAAACGCGAGCTTCCTCTTTGCATGCTCCTCCTCACCGATGGTTCGTTCAATTTTTTCTACTTATTTGTAAATCCCAAGCTATGTTTTAGGTTTTTGAGCATTTTGATTATTGGGTTTATTAGATATATACATTTTTATCATCTATATAATTCAATTCTGTAGATGGGGTTGGTGATTTTTGAAGTTTTTGATCACTGGGTTTGTTTTTTCTTTGAATAAATTTGAGGTTGGTGATTTTTGAACTTTTTGATCACTGGGTTTATTTTTTCTTTGAAGAAATTTTGAATCTAGAGATGGGGTTTTTCTGGTTTTTTTTTTTTTTGGGAAAATTTTATTTTGGAAATGGGATTTTTTATGCTTGGTCATATCTGATTCAAGTTTTTGTTTTGGTTGATTTTTGGTGGTGGTTGTTGCAGCTATTGTGACTTTAAAGGAGGAATTGATAAGGTGTAGGACAACAATTGTTGAACCAGTATTGGAAGAATTCATACCAATAAAGAAGACTTGTGATGAAGATGAGAAAGGTGAGGTTCAGAAGGAAAAGGACAGCAGTAAGGATAAGATGAATTGGATGAGATCTGTGCAGCTCTGGAACAGTGATCCTTCTGCAAATATCAATATCAACTCTGATCAGAAAGAAAATTCAGTACCAGAAATTAAGCAGGTATAACAGATTTGATACCACTTGACAAACAAAAAAAAAAAAAAAAAAAAATTGTTCATGAAATTTTGACTGAATTTTATTCATGTTTCTTTATGCAAATCATATATGTCAGTATATATTTATTTGTGTGTTTTGATAATAGATTGCCGAGGAAGATAATCAGAGGGTGACTAATGATCCATTTCAGTCCAGTAAAACCAGAACTGGGGGGAGGGCATTTATGCCATTCAAGGGGTACTCTGTTTTTCCGGTGACGGCGCCGGCCACCAGGAAGGAGGATGAGGGCGAGCTACCAGTTGCTGGACTTTCCTTTCTTACTCCTGGAATTAGGAATCCCAAAGAAGAATTAGGTTCTGGTGGCTTAAGTTCTAAAGCCAGTTCTGGTGACAAAGCAGGTTCCTTTTCTGCCCCAACTGGTCAATCAAATTTAAGGACTGGGCTGCAGCCGTCTCAGCAGCAGACTGCCAGGAAACAAAGAAGATGCTGGTCACCGGAGTTGCATCGGCGGTTTGTCAATGCCCTGCAACAACTTGGGGGTTCACAAGGTTAGAACTTTGAATTTCAGTTTAGGAGTTCAAATGAAAATTCAAAAGAGAAATGGATATGGTTCTTGATTTGCGATTTTCGTTTTAGTGAGTTTTACTTTGTGGAAAAGAAGTCTAGATCTTTTGTCTTCGCAAAGGATTTTCCTTTCCTTTTGCCTTGTACTTTACATTTTTCTTTTTGTGTTCTTTATTTGAGTCTAAATCTGTTAACACTTGAATTTTTAATTTTTTCTTCTTTTTGACTTTTTGAAAAGCTATTATAGTTATGATTGTGGCATGGTTACTGCATTACTTGATCCATTCTAGTTACTTTTATCTGCAAAATTGGAAATTATATAGAAGAACTTATGCTATTAAATACCCATATGATATTCACATACAAGGAAATGAATTATGAAATGGGGAGATTGAATTATAGAAGAGAAATAGAGAAAAAATGTTAAAAGGCTACAATGTACTGATAAAATCTCGAAGCTAAAGCCAATTCTTTTTTCTGCATTTGTAACTGAGATGGTTTCTTCACCAATCATCTTTTGAGTCAACAATTTTACAAGCAGCATCTGATTTTATTTTGTGGATACATTGCAGTGGCAACTCCCAAGCAGATTAGAGAACTCATGCAGGTTGATGGTCTCACCAACGATGAGGTGAAGAGTCATTTGCAAGTGAGTTTCGGATTTTTTATCTCCTTTATCTAATCTTCCTTGTTCATTTGAATTTAGATCATGTGGTTGATGGAAAATGTTTTTGTGATTTCAGAAATACCGGCTTCATACTCGAAGACTCCCAGCTGCTGCAGCTACACCTACAAATCAACCGGTCGTCGTTTTGGGGGGTTTGTGGATGCCCCAAGACCAGTGTGGTGAAACTTCAAAGCCCAGCAGTTCCCAATCTGGTTCTCCCCAGGGACCCCTCCACTTAACCTGTGGAGGGACTTCTACTACAGGCGGTGACAGCATGGAGGAGGAAGAGGATGAGAAATCCGAGAGCTATAGCTGGAAAAATCACATTCACAGATCTGGAAAAGATGATGTATAGAATATATCCCACCATGAATTTTGCAGATAAACCTATACATGGGAGGAGTCGACGACCATAAGAATAATTCTATAGTATACATAAAGGAGGAGCATAAGAAAGGCTGTGAAATTTTGCAGGATTAGTATTCCCTTCCTTCTGATCTGAATTTGAGTTGTTATCTTTTGGTTTTGGTGTAAGATACTTGACGTGAGATTCGTAAGTGCATGGGATGAAGGAACAGGATCGATTCCCTGAACTATAAGCATTTCTATATGGTATTTGTTCAATTATTTTAGAACCAGTATGTTGCTTTTCTTGTCCGGGGTTGGAATTGACTGGTTGCGGGATATTTTAGTTCTATGGACAGTTTCTTGTATGGCTGTTACTGGTGTAAGTAGAGTTGATCCTTTCTTCTGTTCTAACCTTTCTTCGATATTCTTGAAGAAATGTGCAGAGGAAACGTTTTCCGGGAAATGTCAGAATGGGAATGCCTTCAAAGTGTGGGCAAGAGCAATAAGATTAGCCTTTAACCAGAATACCATCCCATATCTTCTGATGGTAATTATAGTACCGTTGGTCGATTTGATGAGTTCATTCTTAGTTAGAAGAAAGGATGGTGTGGCTTCCAATTTATTCAAATGCTCTTGCCCTCGGATTAATATCAAGTTCAGATCTTAGTAGTTTAAATTGTTCTATGAGAATGAAGCCTTATATATAGATATATATTTTGTTTCATATGGCACTGAAATTGAGCAAGTTTGTTGTTTCATTGCATTTCAGATGAGTTTACACTGTTGCATGGTAGCTTTATGAGTATAATGCATGATCTGATGGGAATAATTGTGTTATATAATATAATAAATTACATTATAGCCTTACTGTTATATTACCGAAGGAGTGCAGAAACATGATTTTCAAGATATGATGATACTTCAATATTTCAAAATTGATTTATATACCGAAATGATCTCTTACACACCTGTAAGCAAGAGATCAGTACCATACCGGATACACACACACACGCACACACATATATATATAGTTTTGGTAGAACAAGATGACACCACAAGATCTGGACCTATCCTTCTCAGAATATTATGGGGTTTCTATTTATTCACTAATTTGAAATTGTCCTCAGCAACCAACAGTCAAAATGGAGTTGTTCTTATTCAAGCAGATAGGAATACAAGGCAAGTTGGCAATTATACATCCAGCCAAATTCAGCTACAAGGACTCAAGTTTCTTTCTTCAGTACTTTTGTGCACAAGGGGCTGTTTGGGAATTGGGTAGTAAGAAATCCAACCACTAACAACTATGACCACTTGTCATTACCGTATAATCAATATTTAGAGTCTGTTTTGACCTCCCTTGTACTTGAATTAAAATGACCTCACTCACAAATTTACAAAGTATTTGAGTGAAAATGATGGATACCATTTTGAAATAATAATAATAATAATAATAATGCTTACTTGGTCAATCCATCCTATGATTCTTAATTATTTTAACCCATCTAACATGAAATTATAAAGCCTTCCATATACAGCCCCTAAATTAGGTCAAATTATTCAAAATTATCAAAATTTTGTCCACTAATCTATGAAGTCATATCCCACTTAAAATAACATAATATGGTGTCATGTTTATCCAAGTGAATGACAAAAGGGTCTCTTTCACAGGCAAAAATAATAGAGAGAATCTCATAGACAATATATAATAATTGATCCCACATTGATGGCTCCATTTTAAATGTAGTATAAATTGTTTGGTGAAAGGATTGAGTGAAAATGATTGTACCACTTGTTCAATTTTGTTTCTAATTTTGTTTGATTCAATTATTTTATTCGTTTGGTATACTGTTTCAAGTGTCAAATTCAACTGCTACTACCATTATTCTTTTTTAAGTAGAGATAAATATTTTAATATATGCACTAGCCAGGCACATTGGCTGTTTCACATGGCAGATTAATTTATGTAGACCAATTTGTACCCAGTAGAAAACCACCCTAAATATTTTACTTTTTGGTTATATATATTATATAATAGTAGACAGATCAAAGTAGTACCTGGTCTGACTTCAGAGAATCATTATTATTACAATCCATTGATGACTCTAATATTTGTGATTAGTGTGCGTGAATGGAACGTTCATTTTAATTATTATTATTATTTTATATGTAATTTAAAATGAAAATGATTATTCTATCATAATGTAAATTTAAAGAATAAAAATTTATTTCACAATTAAATTTTTTAAATAATTTTTTTATAAAAAAAATTCAACTTCCTAAAAAACTCATGTTCTAAGTCCAAAATCCACCATTACCTTTCATCACAATCACTTCCGCCTTACACTACCACCACCACTACCGACTTCCACCCACTTTCACCGCCTTCCACCACCACCACCACCACCACTATTGACTTTCACCACCGCCTACCGCTTTCTACCACCGCCGCCACCACCATTGCCACCACTGCCATCACATTCCACCACTGTCACCGCCATCGCCTTTCACCATGTACAACCACCACCTTTACCACCGCATTTCACCATCGCTATCGCATTCCAGAGCTACCACCTTCCATCACCACCACCACCACTGCCTTTCACCACTGCCACCACCTTCCACCACTACCACTGTCATCGCTACCGCCACTCCTTCCACCACCACCACAGTCACCTTTATTGGCTTCCACCACCGTCACCTCAATTGGCTTCCACCACAGTCACCTACACCACAATCTCTCTCCACCACCACCACTTTCCACCACCACCACTGCCGCCTTCCACTACCACCACCGACGCCGCCTTCCACTATTGCCACCACCGTCGCCTTCCAACACCACCACCTACACCACTACCACTTTTCACTTCCACCACCATCCACTATCGCCACTGCCACCATTTATTTTTAAAAAAATTATAGAAGAATGTCATTTTATTAATTTAATTTATTTATTAGTAAGAGAGATATTTTGGAGAATTCAATTTGAAATTTATTTCATTCTAAATTTTAAATTGGTCCAACCAAACACTAGAATAATTATTTTCATTCAGTTCCTACAAATTTCATATTTACAACCAAATAATAGAATGAGAATGGTCATTCCATTCCATTCCCATTCTCATTTCTTTCCCACTTGCATTCTATTTCATTTTTGTACATCAATACGTTTGGTGTGCATAAATGGAATGGAATGCAACTTGGAATAGAATGAGAATGAAAGTTAAATGAATGAGATTCTCATTCCATTGTTTAGTGTGACACGGTGAATTATTATGGAATGGAATGATTATTACCATTCTATTATTTGGTTGACTATCATTTGAAATGAAAATGATTTTTCTCAAAAATACCTTTTTTATTGGCTTACATTACTTTTTAACAAAATTAATCTAATTAATATTCTAACGTTGAATTATGGGATGTTCAGTTTTTGGGACTGGAATCTTCATCCATGGTTACACCTTAGCCTTTTACTCTAAACATTGTTATGATACCCCTCGATTCTAGAGCCACGGATGATCAAGTCCGAGCACAGATCCGAAGGATACCAAACAATTAATATTTAAACAAGTATAGAATATAAGAAGAATTAAGAAATAAATAATAAAGGCTGAAAGAATCTAAATAATAAATCCTCAATATAATAATTAAATAATCCACTTAATCCAAAATCTTCAATATTTGATACAACTCGGGAATCCACCTAGTGGGCCCTTAACAAAATCCCAACTGAAAGTAAATAACTGAAATAAAATCCAAAGCTAAACCATGAAGAGAAAATCCTACGTAGTCGGAAGAATGAGTGACTGTCTCTACTTAGCACGAACAAGCTCTAAGCCTGGAACTGACGAACACCTGAAAAATAAGAGTGGGTCAGGCCTATGAGCAAGTTCTACTCTACTACAATCCAAATAGAGACCCGATACACATGTACATCCTGAACAACTCAACAATAACTATATAATCTATAAATATATATTTCCACACTAAGGGACTCTCACTGGCTGACTAGTATATAATCTATAACTACAGGCTGGTCTCCACCTGACTAGTAGGCAACATGCAAAACGCACCTGAAGTGGGCATGAGTACCTAGACTTAACAGGGTACACCTCTAACCATCATAGCCAGCTATGCATCCCAATGCATATACGTTCCTTAGCCGTCGATCCTAAGATTCAAGCTCATATTGAGGTACCATAACTATATATTTAAAATCCGTCCAAACCAAAATGATGTCATTCAACTATTTGTTGACCTGACATGAATACAAGTAAAACTTAACTTTTAAAATTAATCTGTTCCCTTGTTCTAGAGTAGGTAGAACTTAGCGTTATGAGCTAATTCATTCCTAAAATGCCACCATTCCATACCGATGCATATAATCCATAAATTCAACAATTGATAATACAGATAATAAATGTAAACATCAATTGATCCATAATTAGCATAATAAAATTATTTAAATTAACATGCTGATTTAATACTACTCCACAAACATCCAATAATTGATAATACAAATAATATATGTAAACATCAATTAATTTATAATAAGCACAGTAGAATTATGTAAATTAATATGCTTACTTTATATTTGAGATACATGATAAAATTATATCATACGTAAACAAATTGCTAATATAGAGGTAAGCCAATTGTATCCTCCACATCCAATCTCAATATGCCATTTTAATTAAAATTTCACATTGATCAAGATACTAATTCTATGTGGTTTATTATGCATTATCATGCCCTCTGGAGTTTTAATATGACCAAAGACATCATTTAAAACTCTGTTACGACTCCTAATTTAAACTCGGAACCTCAAAACCTCAACACAGTGGCTAAAATTCATCAAAAATCACCATACAGAAGGGGAGCTGGCTCTCCCACAAAGGGAGCCACCTCCTCACAAAATAGATCCAGCTCCCCACAAGGGGGAGCCGCCTCTTTGCCAAGTGGAGCCGGCTCCCCAGAAAGGGGAGCCGCCTCCTTTCAATGGGGAGCCGTCTCCTTTCAAAAGGAAGCCGGCTCTTCCCCTGTTTCATCATCTATTCCACCTCCGGTGACTTCCAGTTACCCTGTTCCTTCATACTAAGGTCCTTACTAGTCAGTACTACGTTCCAGTGTATTCCAGAATTATATTTAAATTCATTATGCTTTGATAACCTTAATTAAAACTAATATTTGTGCAAGATAAATCAAGATTCAACAATTTTAATTGCATTAACAACATACTGTTCTAATCAAATTTAACAAGCATAACAGATCAATTTATTATTCAATTTCTCCTGGAATCGTTTAGGCATGTAAAGAACATGAAGCCTAAGGGAAAGAGTTAGATGTAAAACTTGCCTTTAGGTTTCGGTTTGAAACCTTGTACCGTCGTCTCTAAGTTTTCCGACGACTACCGACTACCGTCAAACCTCTTACTGCTCTGGTTCAAACCACAAGCAAGCTTCAAACCACCCCTCCTTGGTTCAGCCTTTGTTCCTAGCCAAACCCTAATTCTCCCTCTCTGTTTCTTTCAAACCTCTCTGTATATCTCTCCGCCTCCACTGTTATATGAATAGGGTTCTCAAACCTTTGACAGACATACAAGTATATTATAGGCAAATTAACTTTAACCTAATCCTATTCTTGCAAGGAGACGGAAAAGAAAAACAGAAATTAAATATGCTAAACCCTAAAACTATATTATACATATATATCAAATAATAATACTAATTTAACCATCATTAATAATTAATAATTAAATTAATC